AGAGCGTGCTCAGAGGCTTTTTAGCACTAAAGGCAAATCCCTAGAAGCACTTGATCCTTCCTTGTTTGCCAAGAATCCAAAGACGAAAGGAAGCAAAAGGTGAGTTCTTAAAGGTCATTCTCAGATTGGTGGTGTTCTCCTCACTTGGATGAGAAGTATTCTATAGACATCGCTCTTGTATAGTTGTGACAGAGATTCTTGGAGTATTAGAAGCTTTTCATGTTGCACTAAATAGTCCTGAACCAAATGGAAGATAGCAGAGCTGAATGGTTTGTGTGCAGTTCAGTTTACCCAAGCTGTTTGGTACTTGTTTCTGTTTTCTTGCTATACACAATTCAAAAGTGTCTGTAGGAATTCAGTGTACACATGATGTTTACAGTTCTGGAATGGACTTCATAAAGTTTCTTTATCTATTTCCAGAGACACTGAAAGAAATAAAGATCTTGCATTTCTGGAAGCTCAGATTTATGAGTATGTAGAAGTTCTTGGGGTAAGGATTTTATTTTGTCTTTGAGCTTTTTATTTCAGAGATGTCAAATAGTGACTGGAGGGTTATCCACATCTTTGCCTAAGTACCTTCATAGACAGCATGCTCAGAAGAGTTATTTTCATGTCCAGAGTCATAATGTTTTAAAAGTGCCTGTTAGCAGATAGCTTTTTCTGTCAGGAACTAGAATATGATGGATTAATACAGGATATTTCCATTACCTAATTATTTGGCAGGCTTTTGTGAACGGATGCAGATACAGAGGCTACATGTTCCCTTGGGGAAGCCTGTCTTTTTTTTTTCATCTCTCCTAGGCACCACATGAATGTAGATAATTTCTAGTTTATGCCTAAGTTGCAGGATATTGCAAACCTTTACTTGTTCTGCCTTGATGCTTGCCTTAAGTCCTTGCTTCAGTTTGGGGCGACTGCTTTTTAGCAGGGTGGCTGTTGCTGTTAGCTTGTCATCTTGGAAGTGCTAATGGCAGTACAAGTTTTTAATTCTTTGGAAGTAGGAAATGTTACACTGAAAACTTAAGTTGTTGGGTTAAATAAAATGAGATCTCTCTGTTTCATACTGGTCTTCCATTGCCCTCCTTCTGTACATTAAGAAAGTGTTTCACGCTGCGAGAGTTTGCCCTTATTCTGTTACATGTGAAAAATTCCTTCTCTTTTCTCACACTCTAGGAACAGAGACACCTCACTCATGAGAACGTGCAGCGTAAGCAAGCACGGACAGGGGAAGAGAGGGAGGAGGAGGAGGAAGAGCAGATCAGTGAGAGTGAGAGTGAAGATGAAGAAAATGAAATAATTTATAATCCTAAAAATCTGCCTCTTGGTTGGGATGGCAAGGTAACTGAGATTGTCAGGTCTGGAAAAGTGGGAGATGTCACTGACCCCACACTACTCTTTTGTTTGAACCTGCCTTGCTATTTGGCCTAATCTTTGTTTCTCTTTGCTTATCAGCCAATCCCATACTGGTTATATAAATTACATGGTTTAAACATCAACTACAATTGTGAGATTTGTGGTAACTACACCTACCGAGGGCCCAAAGCTTTTCAGCGTCACTTTGCGGTAAGTAATGTTTTGCTACAAAAATACCAGTACTGCGTTCAGAAAATCTTTATAATAACTAACTAGTAAATCACTGGAGCGCCAGAGTGGCACTTCTTCCAATTCTAAAATAAGGATCTGGGCTGATGGTGCAGGACCATCCGATTGGAATTATAAATTATGTACGGCATACTAAGATTTTTTTTCTGCAAATTTCTGTACGGTCCCGTCTTGTTTGAACACTAATTCCAGTATTCAGGTCTGAGTGGTGTGGAGTGCCTGTTGACTGACAGTGTATTGTTACTGTTATATACATTAAAAATATTTGTATATACATACAGAAAAAATATTTTTAAAGATGTTTTTAGGACTGGTGGATTTGTATTTTGATAGTATTTTTTTCACCCTGTCCAGATGTTAATATGCCTTTTAGTCTTTGGCATTGCAGATGAAGTGGCATTCCCTCTCATACACTGACCTCTTCCGTCTTCTCCCCAGGAGTGGCGACATGCTCATGGGATGAGATGCCTGGGCATTCCCAACACTGCGCATTTTGCCAATGTCACACAAATTGAGGATGCAGTCTCACGTAAGTAGTGATGGCAGAACAGGGAACCTGTGGCATAAGAACACTCACATTAGCTCTTGCCAAAAATTTGCCTTACCCTGTAAAGAGTGTAAGAAACATGGTGCATCCTTTCTTGGATCATCCCTCCCAGCTCTTAAAAGGAGAGAGTGGCTTTTTGTCTTTGTTGGATATCTGCAGCAGTAGATGCTTGCTGGGATTGCCAGCAAAGCATTCATTCGTTGCCAGCTGTTTTGTCTGCGATAGCTGAGATTTCATCACAAACCAAGTGCAATGGGGCACTATTTCTTTAGGCAGAGTGTGGCTACATCGTCCCATGTAACTCTTTAATTTATGTTCGTTAGCATCTTCATGGGGAAGCCAAAAAAACCCTTCAGAAATGGTAGAGTCTATAAGCAGATTTTGAAAACCCACAGTACTTGAGACTTACAGTGATTATAATTTAATATGGCTAATCTGTGCTGGTGTTTTGAGGCAGCCACCTCATGCAGAGGTTGTTTCTTGAATCTGCCCCACTTAAGTTAACAGATACAGGTTATGGTTTCTGGAGGTAAATTAATTCTTGCCTAGAAGAAACCAAACAGGTAAAACCTTGATTTCCCAAACAAGCTGTTATTACCTTTGGAGCTGTATCTCTGAAGTAGTGTTTTTGGACATTTGTGTCTCATGTCCCATCCTGAATGAACACTTTAAAGCCTTATTTGCTTTAGTTCTCGTGCTTTTCAGTAAACCATGGGGAATGATACATTTGTAATGGATATTAGATACGTTCCTGGACTGCTGAAGTGACACTGTTTTAAAAGGAAGCGGGGGAGGGGGGAAAGCTCATGTGTATATTTTACTAGGTTAAAAACTAGTATCTCGAGGGAAATGGCATCAGATCCTGTATGACTTTGTATTTACAGTGTGGGCAAAGCTGAAACAACAGAAGGCTTCAGAGAGATGGCAACCTGATACAGAGGTGAGTTGTTACAGAGGCATTTGGATGTCTGTAGTCTGGTGTAAAGGGAACCCCTCGTTTACCTTGCATGAACTGTCTGGCTCTGTCAAAAGATTTTTAAGAGAGTCCCCTGCACGCTGGAGAGAAGCGGGAACCTACGCTGCTGGTTGCACAGCTCCTGTTAGTGGTGGTGTATGAAAAGCACTTGTGTTGTATTGGAAAGTAGTTATGATAGGGCAGACTCAGTCCTTTGGGTAAGAATCTTTTAATACAGTGCTTTTACAGTACCAGTGTCATCTTTATTTTGTGAGAAGGAAAAGGAACTGTTGTGGGCAGTGTGTTCACTTACACTAGTGCCTTTTCTTAAACATTTGTCTCAAACCATTTTTCAACAGTATGCAGGGCAACTACAGCCTGTAGTACAGCTTGTAATTATTCTGACTCTTCAAAAGCTGTAGTACAACATGAGTCGGGCTGTGTCCAGGTGTCTCTAAACTGTTCGTTCCATTCTAGGAGGAATATGAGGATTCCAGTGGGAACGTGGTGAATAAAAAGACCTATGAAGACTTGAAACGCCAAGGGCTGCTGTAGCTTGTTCCAAGTGAAGGATTTCACATCTGAAGAGCAAGTGCAGATGTGTCAGCAGCTCTGACTCTTCTTCAGTCTCTGGATTTTCTATGTGCATGAATATAGATTTCAAGGATACTTTATAGAATTGCTTTCTAGTAAGCCCCTTGTGAAAAGCAAACTTGTGATGTTATTTTATATTAAAAAACCCCAATCTTTGGAAAATAAACTGGTTTTAATGTAGGAAGCACTGAGAAACCTGTCTCCTTTTGTATGCTGGAAGAAAGAGATTTGATTACGGTATTCTTAAAAGTCTTTTTATGCAGTTTGAATTGTCAGAAACAATTGCTTGCTTCTGTCTTATTCCTGTTCTAATGGAAATTTTTATGATGAGGATTGACTTTCTGTAAAGCACGCATGAGCATTGCATGCTGACAAGTAACAGTCCTATACTATATCTTGCTGTAAGCATGTGTTTCTTTGGGCTCCTTTGCAAAGCAAATTTATTTGGCTTGCATTGCTGCTTTTACCGCAGGTCTGTGGAGGTTTGGCCACTGGGATTTTTTTTTCAGGGAATTAATAATAGAGCTTGATTTAAGTTGGGCTGTGTGGGCAGTTTGTGGTAATGTCTCCAGCACTGTGGCAGTCCTCATGCCCCCTCCAGCCCCTCAGGTGGGGTTTCATTTTGGTATAGAGTTGGCTTGTGTGACGCCTGTAGCCTCAAAAAAAACCCCTTTCTCTGTTGTCGCTGTGCAGGGCCGTTTGCATCTCCAGATGTCGTGGAGCAGCAGGTAACAGACACTTCCCCTGGGTGATGGTTTGCGCAGTCGGTGGTTGGCAGGGGTGGGGCTGGTTTCTGGCACCAGGCGGGGGGGGGGCGGTTTTGTGCGACGGGGCGGGGAGCCTGTGCGGCAGGTACCGCAGCTGCTGTCGCTGCTCGGAGGCGCTCCACTGCTAGCAGTGGCTGCTGGGTTTTCCTGGTGCACTGGGGCTGCGGGGAGCAGACAGAGGGGGTGAGTCAATGCTGTGGCTTCTTTTCCTTTCCCTGCCCTGGGGGAAAGTTGTTCTCCTTGGCATGAGGCCATGTCTGGTGGGTGTTGTTCCTAGCCTGCCCTGGAGCTGGGTTGGGCTGTGCTGGAGTGGCGCCCTGATCAGTAAGGTTGTCCAAACCTGGCCTGGGTGGTGGCTGCTCTGGTTTGGAAGGTGAGAGAGACACCAGCCTGCATTGTCTTCTCTTTCACTCTTGAGTGAACAGCTTTGGTGGTCGCTATGCAAGCTTCAGCCATTCCAGGTCCTCGGGGAATGCTAACTGGGTCTAAGTCATAAGACAGGAGGGGAGTGTTGTAGTTTTCCTTGCAGAACTTGGCCATGGAGCCTGTTTGGAGTCACGTCTCCACTGTTTCCTTGTATAAACAGGTAAAGGTTTTGAATGAAAGCGGAGAGATTCCTACAACAGAGAGCTGGGTGTCATGGGAAGCAACAAAGCAGGTAGAATTCCCAAACCATGAGGGTGAGTGGCAGGGCAAGGGACTGGGCGGTGAGCAGCTGTGCAGACACCTCTTTGTAGTCGGGACTTGACAGCAGTGTGGAGGCACACACAAGGATGTAACCAGGAGCTTTACAGCAGAAAACCTCTGTCCATTGAACCTGCTCCATCATGAAACCTAGCCACCGTTGGCAAAACCCTGTTCTCCCTGCCATGAAGCAGCGGTAGCTCCTGCGCCCACCTTCAGGAGCAAGGTGCTGCAGCAGCTTAGCCAGGCAGCTCTCATGTCACAGCAGACCTGCCTCCTGCCCCAACCGGCCAGCCTGTATTGCTTTCCCGGAGGTGCTGCCTGGTGTCCTCGCTCAGTACAGGCAGCGAGCTGCTCACAGCCTGATGGCTGTGGTGCCCAGGCCGGGCAGGTGGGAAATCCTGCATGAAAAGGATGTGTGTGCCACCATCCTGGGCTGGCAGGGAGGGGACACTCACGCAGAAGTGGACAGGTGGGAAGGATGTGACTTTATTGTGAGTTAACCAGAAATATTTGAGCATTGGCAGTGCAATGGCTCTTTATGGTCCAGAGCATTTCCACCTCTCGCTAGGGAAAGCTTTAACTGTACGTGTTCCTGTTTATGTTCCACATGAGTTGCATGCCAGAACTAATAGGCCTGTGCTTTGCTCTTTGCCAGGTCCTGAGGGCCTGGTGCATAGGCATGTCTGGAAATGGGCATTTTTCACACCATACTTCCTTTGTCCATCCACAGCAAGAATTGCTATGGAGGGTCTCTCTTGCTGCCCTGAGGGCTGGTGGGCTTGGGTCCTCCTGTGGTGGGTGCTGCTGCCGGTGGGTCACATCTTCATTTGCAACAGCATCAGCAAACTGCTGCATGGTGCCAAGTGTCATCCGTAACTACCCTGCCTTCATGCTCCTGGCAGCTGCCTGCAGCTCTGCATATTGCCTGCGAGCACCGGTGGAAGGTTACCACACCAACGGGAGCACGTGGCTCCCCGGGGAGCATGGGCCGGGCCATGCCCCTGGGCCCTGTCAGCAGCAGGCATCTGCAGCAGCCTTGTGGTTTTTGGAGAGTCTCTCGGGAAGGAGCAACCGGACATCCCAGGGCTGAGCCCACGCGGCTGAGCACCGCTTCCGCGAGCACGCAGCCGTGCGCAGCACTGTGCTGTGGCCCTGGGGCTTGTACTGGAGGTGGAGCGCGGACCTGTACTGGGGTGTCTGCCCCGCACCTCTGCGGGGACAGCTCCCCGCACCCTCCGGCAGCTGATGGCAGCGCTCAGCAGCAACACAGGCAGGAGCTGGGCGAGCCCCCAGCAGCTGCCTTGTCTCCCTGAAGGTGCTTGCAGCTGGTGTCCCCGGGGTGCTCTGGGCCTCCCGTGCAGCCCAGGCGCAAACGGCCCCGGGGGAGAGCCCATGCTCCCGCTCAGCGACGCGGCTGTGCCCTGCGCTGGGTGCACTGCTGCTGGCACAAGAGCTGGAGCTTGTGCGGGGCTGAGCCACAGGGGAGAGGCAACCGCCCCTTGGGAGCGGGCACCCGCCACTTCTGGGGTGCGTGGCTGTGCTGGCCAGCACCGCACTGGTGGCTCGGGCGTTTCAGTCTGGGGTAGGCAGCTCCCAAGCCCCCTCTGCGCTTGGTCAACTGCCTCCTGCTGCAGCTGTGGCTGAAAGGGCCTGACTGTTGCTCCCTGAAGTCCAGGCAAGCACAGTCACAAGGCTGATGAATTATTTGCTTATTTATATGTTAGATGATCTCTGGGTTGTGAGCCTGTTGAGATGACCTGGATGGCAGTTTTTAGAGGTGCTATTGGTGGGTGGTGTTATTGCTGGGCACTTACTCGTCCCTGAAAAGCATGTCCTGCCACTACAGGGACCAAAAATAGAGTGCTGAACAACCTGGATTTCTCTGGTGTCCCATGGTGTCCAGAATAAAGGCTGTAGAATTTTCTAGGAGAAAGGTTTTTTCAAAAAAAAACCAAACCTCCAGAAAAGTCTCTTTTATGTAACTTGTCGTGATATTGTTTCTGCTACCTCATCCCAAGCCTTAGACTGCACAGACTCAGGGAGCACGTGCTGCTGTGACCACGGCAGCGACCGTTGGACTGTCCCCTCCTGTCTGCCCAGCTCTGACCGTGCCCCTTCCTGCCAGGTCCCGGGTGCAGCCGCAGGTGGATGAAGATGGCAGGTCACCGATGGCTCGTTCCCCCCCTTCAAGGTAACAGGGGCAATGCTGCAGCATGGAGAGTGGTGTCTGTCCTGGCATGCCCAGGCCGTCCGTCCCTGCCCCAGCTGTCAGAGGCTCCCTGGGGCGAGGGGTGGCCTGGGGACTCTGGACGGGTGGTGGTGGGGTGTCTCTCTGCAGCATGGGTGCCTGACCTCAGGTGTGTCTGTGGGGCTTCCCATGACCCCCCCAAGGGGAACTGGCCACCACCCTGCTCCAGGGAGGCTGGTGGGGGCTGGATTTGGTGTTTCAAGGGAGAGGTGCCTCGGCTGCTGGGGGGGCTCTTTTGGGCTGTGGGTAAAGCAGGTGGCGGATCTGGCGGTCTCAGTCATTTCCCCCTCCATTCCAGGCCTGCTGCTTGGCATCTTGGCTCTGCACCTCTGCGTCCAGGACCCTCTTGCCACAGCAGGTGAGCTCTGCAGCCCAATGGAAACCTGGGGCTCCTGTGGGGAGCGGGTCAAAGGCAGTGTGGTGCAATGGGGACTTTGTCGCTGTCCCCTCCAGGCTGTATTCTGTAGGATAGAGCTGCACTGAGGAACCTTTTTTCAAGGTTTTGAACCCATAAAAGCCTGTTCTTCACATGCAGTGTGCCTGGAAGGGGGAGGGAGAAGCTGGTAACATCTGTCCATAGTGCTGCTGTGGTAGTCTCTTGTCTCCAACCTGCTTTTTGGGCTGCCGAGTTGCTGGCTGCAAATGGACCTTATTTGGGACATCCTGTCACTTACTGCCATCCACATCCCAACCACAATGTGACTGATGCTTCCCGTAGATGCCTTTGGACTGTGCAGAGGCTCAGGAGGGGATGCAGGGCTTGCGGAGCATGAGGTTGGTGTTTCCTTCATCAAGGATGAACTTTGTGTCTTCCAGAGCATGACGCAGTTGCCAACGCCTCGGTGGCGGCCAACGCCTCGGTGGC